AATTAATTTCATAAATTTAAAATTAATGATAATAATAATGATGATAATAATAATAATAATGGAGGAAAAATAAGAAAAAAAAACAAACAAACCTGGCCAACAATTCACGCAAACTAATCCGACTTTTGCACCCATAATTTTTTTGGTTCCTCTCCGTCGAAAAAACAAAATAGAGAGAGAGAAAGAGAGAGAGAAACAGTGAGGAATAGAGACAAACAAAAAAAAATCCCCGCGAAAAAAGCAAAAAAAAAAAAAAAAAAGGCGAAAAAAATAGCGAACAAACTCGCGCGTTAACTTTGAATGCCGAACCCAAACTGAAGAATTGCAAGAACGACTCCAGAGGAGAAAAAGGAGGAGGAGGAGTAGTGGTAGTGGTAGTGGTAGTTGTAGTAGTAGTAGTAGTGGTGGTGGTGGTGGTAGTGGTAGTGGTATACTACTACCATCAATTTGTTCCATTGACCTTTTAAAGATTAAGTATTGCTAATACGTTTTAAAAAATAATAAAATAAAATTTAAATAAAAATTATGGAATTTTTTTTTCTTAATTTTTTCTTAATTATTTATTCCTTTTTTTCTGTCTATCTTTCTTTCTTTCTTTCTCACATGTTTTTATCGATTTTCCATCCTTGTTTACAAATATTTCAAAATGGCTGACGACGAGTCGGATGACTTTTTTTTTCCCTCATTTAATTTAATATTAAAGTTTTACGATATTGAACGACAGTAGCAGTCAGTAGTAGTTGTAGTTGCATCACGTGGTGGTGGTGGTGGTGGTCTTATCACTAATATCATTAAAAAGAATTTTAACCCCTTTCGATATACACGTGTCTTGTTTGACTCATTGGGGGTGGGAGGTGGAGGGAGAATCCTTCGGGAATTATCAAACACAACAGGAGGGATTTCATCAATACAATTTTCCTCTGAGACAAAAAAAAAAATTAAAAATAATAAAAAATGACTTTACGACTTGCACAACAACCTCAACAACAACAAACATAAATCAATTAAACCGAATGTTTGTTCGTTATGACCAAATTATTATTAATACCATTACTAACATCATCATCATCATCATCATTATTATTATTATTATTATTATTATTATTATTATTATTATTATTATTTCGAAAAATTATTTACAATAAACTTTTTCTTACTTTTTCTTAAATCTTAAGCTTTTCTTTTTTTCTTTTTTGCCCCTGCTCTCTTTCCCTCTCTGTCTTTCTGTCTGTTTGTGTCTCTCTCTCTCTCTTTCTCTGTCTTTAGTCTGTCTGTTTGCCTCTTTCCCTCTCTGTTTGTCTGTCTGTCTGTTTGCTTCTCTCTTTCTCTGTACCTATTTTTCTTTTTCTCTCTCTTTCTGTCTCTCTGTCTGCCTGTTCGCCTCTCCCTCTCTCTCTCTTTTTCTGCTGTCTGTCTGTCTGTTTGTCTCTCTCTCTCTCTCTCTCTCTCTCTCTACATCTTTCCATTTTAACAAATTTTCGAAAATTTTTATTTTTCTTTCGCAATAAATTTTATTGAAATATTTCCACCGTAACGGTTAAAAAAATTTTATTTCTCGCAAAACAAATCAACGGGAAATGATTTTCTTACCCGCGCACGCACACACACAGCTTAGCTTCAAATATTTAAGTGATATGAATAATAAATAATAATAATAATAATAATAATGTACTGATAAGGATAATTATTAAACTTGGAATTAATCTAACGCAATCATCATCCTCATCATCATCACCACGATCAAGATCATCGCTGCCATTACCATTACCATTACCACCACACCACTACTACTTTTGTCACCATCATCATCATCATCATCATCGCCGTTTTATTTTTATTATTATTATTATTAAATTGCAAAAAGGAAAAAAAATACAATTTTTTCCGCAGTTTCATTAATTTTCTTCTTTTTCTTGATGCCAAGAAAGCTGAGACAGGAAAAAAACATCGACCGTAAGATTCACGTCATTAGTTTAAAATTAATTATTATTATTATTCCATTGCTTTTATTTAATATTTCTTGGCGTTGTAGTGAGTAGTAGTAGTAGTAGTAGTGGTGGTGGTGGTAGTAGTTGTGGGTCGATTACAATTTCAATAACGAAAAAAACGAGAGAAAAAAAAAAAGTTTCGTCGTCGTCGTCGTGTTTCGAATAAATTAACGTCATCATGCGTGCACGCAGAAAAATGAAACAACGCGTAAAATCATTTTTCAATGTCGTCACGAAAAATACAGCGTCACAGCATCAACTACGGGTATAAACGTTGTGGGGGACTCCCCCCTCGCGCCACCAAAAAATAAAAAATAAAAAAGTTTCGGTGGTTTTTGAATTTAAACCGCTCCGACGTAATTGAAACCGAAAAAAAAACGAAATAATAATAATAATAATAATAATAATAATAAATGTTTACAAAGTTTGTTTTTAAAAAAAATTATCCGAAACCGTTATTTTTATTATTATTATTATCATTATTATTATTAATATTTATCAAATTGCCTGGAGAAAGATTTTCTTCGAACGTTTAGAAAAAAAAAAATTTTTTTTTTTTTTCCTTTCTGCCATTAATAAAAATTTCAAACAATAAAAAAAAAAAATCAAAAAAGGAATTTCGCTTTATTATTATTATTATTATTATTATTTTTTAAATTAAATATTTTTCCATGGCTCCAGTTTTTCTTTTCATTCATTTCAAGGGGGAAAACCCTTCTTCTCCTTTCCCCACCTCTCCATCCCACCAGGAAAATTTTTTTTTTTTTTTCTTTAATATCCTCAAAAATTCATTTTATTCGACGTTTAAAAAACTATCTCGTGAGTTTAGGAAAAAAAAAAACATCGAGATAATGACGTAAAAAAAGGGGGGATTGAAGCCCCCCCCAAAAAAAAAAAAAAATTCACCCGTAAATAATAAAGTGATATTTTCGACTGGGAAAATTTTCGAAATAACCGAATCGTTCCCCGCCACGGTATCAATCGGTAAAAATTGTATTTTCTATCGCCACGAATTCTACCGCCACTATCATTTCGTACCACGATCATTTTCACGAAATCGTGTGCGCGCTTTCCACTCCTCCTCACCCCACCCCCTCATCTGAGAAAAAAAAACGGAAAGAATTAATTCTCAACGAAATCATCATCACAATCGTCATTACAATCATTTTCATCAAAACATTTCAGCCGTAAACGTTTTGCTTAGTCTTTTTGTAAGTCACGCAAATAAATAAAATTGCATATTCATGAATAATTTTCATGGAGAAGGAAAATTTTCCAGTTTCTTTTTTTGTCCAGGTTCATCTTTAACATTGTAATATAAAAAATTTAAATTCCGACCGAATTTCTTTCATTTAACATTACGAAAAAAGAGAAAGAGAGAGAGAGAGTGGCGATGGGAGGGAAGAAAAAAAGGGGGGGGGAATTTTTTAAATATTTTTTACAACGGTTTTCTTTTGGGGGGGGGAGGTAGGGGGGAGGATTTTTTCGAGAACCTTGAAAAGTAAAAAATTTCTTTTTTAAATTCATCGAAACGTTCTTCATGAATATAAATGATAATTTTTATTAAACAAACAAACGACAAACGCTCGCGCTCGATGCAATCGTAAAAAATTTAAATTAACGTGGAAAAAAACAAAAACAAAAACAATGGAAACGATTCGTATAATTGTCGCCTTGTTGTTGTTGTTTGTTGATAACAACAACACCTTTTTTTTTTTTTTTTTGTTTCTTCTTTTCTAATATTCTCCAGCACGAATTAAAAAAAAATAAATTTTTTTCTTTTTTTACTTTTTAATTTGACCTCTCTCTCTCTGTCTCTCTCTGTTTCTCTTTCTCTTCCCCCCCTCTCTCTTTTATTAACTTTCGTTTAAATGCCAATGAAACAATAACAGAATTTTTTTTTTTTTTTTTTTTTTTTTTTCATTTTCATTTTATTATCCATCATTTTTTTTTCTTTTTTCTTTTTAACTGTACCTGATGTTGACAAACTGCGTCAATATTTACGTTCGTACCCCGGTCCGTAACAACAAACAACAAACGAACAAACGGACGAAAAAAACGTGGCATTAATTTAGGTTAAAAAAAATTTTTTTTTAACTTCGTCATTTATTTATTTTTTTTCTCATTTCCAATTTAAACTTTTTTTTTAATTATCGACGGGGATCGCACGTCTATTATTATTATTATTATTATTATTATTATTATTATTATTATTATTATTATTTAATGAAATTTTCAGCAAAATATGTTTGCTGGAGAAAAAAAAAGAAAACATTCCATAACACGTAAAAACTTGTTTTAAACAAAAAAAAAACTTGTCTAAACACGTTATAAGAGTAATACTACGTATAACGATCAAAGATTTTTCTTTTTCTCTCTCTCCCTCTCTCTCCTAAATTTAAAGACCAATAAACTATAAAATTTAAATGAATTTTTTAACCTTATTATTATCATTATTATTTAGCAGAAAACAATCCCACACGCGGTAGATGAGCAAATTAAAAAACGAAAAAACGAAAGAAAAACAAAAGATTCGCTTCTTTCTTATAATTTACACCCTTAACGTTTTTTTCTTATCACGTGACCGCGAGCGCGCGCGCGCGTGTTTGTGTCATTTCAAATTTTGCGCGGAAAAAAAATTTTTTTTTTTTAATTTTCAAAGGTTGGCTTCCGGTGTAATATTTATCAACCGATCGCTTACGTATTAGTCTTGAAAAAAACCCACCATACCAAGCTTTTCTTTTCTCTCTCTCTCTCCTTTTTTTCTCTCTCTGTCTCTCTCTCTCGTTTATTTACTCTATGTACAATTTTTTTTTTTTTTCGTGTTGAATTTATAATGTACACGTGTTATATACATATATATATAAATAAATGTTTGTACACGTGAATTTTCCTTTGATGATTTCCATTGAGAAAAAAAAGGCCAGAGCTTACGTGAATGGTAATAATAATGATAATAATAATAATAATAAAACAATACCAAAATAGGAAAAAAAAATTAATAAATGAAAATCAAAGAGTGCCTTTCGCGAAAATTACCACAAAATGTTTAGCTCGTGGAATATTAAAAAAAAAAAGTCTTAAAAATAATAATAATAAAAATTCAAGTGTTTTCTTACCTTCCAAAGATGGCGTCGATTCTTGAGATTTCTTTTCTGGCACGACACGTCGTTGACGCTGTTGTTGTTCGATCACGTTCGGATATTTATCCGAATCCGTAACCGTTTCGACATCCTCCGATGATTTTTTAACGGTCAAATCTTTTACAAAATTTTCTTCCCCAACATTTTTCATTTTTTTTTCATCGAGTACCTGTTCGTTGGCGACGCTCCCGTTCGACATCAAACAATCCCACTGTTTCAATTTTTCCCGTTCCAACGGTTGAACGGGTAATTTTTCGTTGGATGTTTGAACGGGTGAAATATTATTATTATCGTTTGGAAATCTAGAACTTTGTATTTTTTTCAACGCGACATCTTTTCCCATGGGTAGTCCCGCGTTTCTTTTTATTTCTTTTGAATTTTCACGACTGTGACTCGTCCATTTAGACGTCGTCGGGGTGGCGGTGGTGGTAGTGACGACAGCGGGAACGCTTCCCAATTTGGATGGCGGTGGATTTCTCGTTAGTTTTTCGTAGTGAACTCCATCGTCGCAATCTAAAATGCCGGAATCGCTGAGCACGACGACGGTTTCCATTTCTTTGATCGGTTTTATTTTTTCCCTCCCGGCGACATTTTCATCGCATTCTCGGGTGAGATCTAAAGATCTGTTCCTTCTGACGATGACGTCATTCACGTATGTCACATTTCTGCTGAGTTTGTTTTTAGACGTGCCCATAGAAAAATGATCGGCGCTTCTTCGTCCCGTTTGCATCATTCCATTTTGCGAACCGGTGAAATGATCCACGCTGCTACGACCCGAATTTTCTTTTTTCCCCTCGACGGGATTTTGTCGCTGATTCGAATTCCACGTGACATCGTCGTCTAAATTATCGAGAGATCGAGTGTGTCGCAAACTGACTTTTCTTAAATTTTCTCTCCATAACGTATCCTTATCCCACAGGTCGTCACCCTCGTAAGGATGATGATTTCGCGATGAGTTGTTGGTGTTGCTGTTCGAAGTCGAAGGAACGGATGGTGAATTTTGATGTTGGGTCGGAACCGTTCGCCGTTGATTTTGAGCCGCAGGTTCCGAATCCGTCAACAATCCTTCAACCGATCTACTTCTGATTCGACTTTGACTTCCGAGAGGAGAGCTAATCGGACTGCTGCTACTATTCATAATCCCGGAATCGGAAAATTTATTTTTTATTCCCTGAGGATACAAATTTCTAGCCACGCCTTGTGGATGATGCATGTCCGGCGTTTTAGTTCCACTCACATCCGTTTGATTTCCGGGAATTTTCTTCCTTTGCAATGTATCCGATTCGTAAATGTTTCTCATGTCTACGGTTCCCGATTTATCAGCGGCTCCCATAAAGTGAGCCGACGTCGTGCGAAGCTCTGCCGTTATTTTATCCACTTCGTCCAATTCGTTGGCCTCGTTCGAATTCATGCCGCCCAAATAATTTTGTGAAATCGGATTGACTTTTCTACCGATGTCATTTCTTTTCGACAACTGTATAGCCTCTTGCCCGCTATCTCTTTGATTATTCAATTGTTGATACCTGTGCGATCCACCGCTTGCATGTCCTCTCGTTCCGGAAACCGTTCTTTCCGTCGGTGCGGATGACGTAAAATCGACTTTGTCGTTTTTTATTATGTCCGAATAATAATACGGTGCTCCCTGATTTTCAAAACTTGAATTTGTTTTCGCCGCCGCACTGTCATCTGGACTTACAATTTGATGTTGCAACGTGTCCGGATCGAAACATATTTTGGATTTATCGGTCGAATCGAAAGAATCGCAGTAGTTATCAGGGGGTGGCACTTCTGGAAATGTAGCCCCCCTATAAAACGTCAAGTTTGATTCTCTGTCGGATTGTTCATTGCTCGATTCGTATAGTTCCGGCGGAGGAGGTGGAAACAGGGTTTGAAGGTTTTCGTAGTGCACCTCATCGTTCGATTTTGTTCTCTCGTGATTCACGTGTTCCACGTTCTCCGTGTTTGTGCTGTTGTTTTCGCTGGCGTAATTCATTTTCAACAAATTTTTTCCATTCACAGTCATTTTATTCATGTTTTCCGACGACATTAAATTTTTATGCATGTCTTTCTCCGAACTTTTGTATATGTTTTCGCTTATGCTTTTCGTATACAGTTGAGTGTTCACGGAACTGTTTAATTGAAGTTCTTCCAGGTACTGATCTAAATTAATGTCTCCACATTCATCGTCTAAAGCTAAACCACTTCTATTACCGACGAAATCTAATTCGCTGAAGACGAGGGGTTTTTCGTAGAAAAACTGTTCCGTTTCGTCGAGCGTTTCCAACATGTCTTCCGAAACCGGCCTACGTTTCTTTTTCTTACTATCTTCGGAATTGTCCAGATTCTCTTGATTAATATTGTTATTCGCAGGCGTGCTCCATAATTTTTTACTTTCTTCTTTGTCCATTTGTTTAAATTTCGTAAAATTTTGCGGTTTATTTATTTCGAGAGATCTTTCCGTTTCCAACGACGTGTCCAAATCGTCCAAAGGTGGTAGAGAATTGGGTATGGGAGGCGGGGATACGAGATCGCTGTCCGATGAATCGTGATTCTCCACGCTGGAATTGGGAAGTCTCACTATGTTTCTATCTCTGTCATTAATCGCGCTTCCCAAATAGTAGGAAGCCGGACGAAAAGTGTCCGATAAGCTAAATCTCGGATGACGTGGTATGTCGAGTGAATCTAAATCTTTCGAAGATTCGTCGTCGGCATCCGAACTGTCCGACTTTGCATTTTGCCTGTTTGTCGAAGAGTTTAAAATGTCTGGCAAAGCGGAGCGGGGAGGAGTCGGAGGAACGACGACGACATCTTGATTCGTTTTTTTCACCGATTTATCTTGTATGGTGTTTCTGTGTTCTTTTAACTTTTCATCTTGCTCTTTTAAAATTTCCAAAAGAGTGTTTACTTCCATGTATTCGGGTTCTCTTATCGATCCGCTCGTACGATAAGACGGTAAAAAATCATAATGAGGAACGGATTTATTACCACTTACGTCACAATATTTAGAACCGTTACGTTCGGGAAAAAGTTTACTCGGGTCGTCGAAAACCGTGGAAGCAACGCCATTTTCCGTCATTTCGACGTAGGTTTCCTCCACGTCGACGCCGAAAAGAAATGAATGCAATGAAGAATCGCTTCGAGATTTATCCGACGGTGGGGCCGATATTCTTCGAGAAGGAGTCATTGGCATGTAGTGATTTTCGCATGTTTCATCCTCTTTAGATACTTCCGGCTGTATTTTTTTGGTCAAATTTTCCTTTGGTAAAGTTTTCTCCAAATTATCTTTTATTTTTTCGATTGTGGGCGTGACGCAAGTCGAATCGCAATTGTCTAGAGGCGTGACGGATTCCGACAAACTAGATTTGGCATAAACGGGTGACATTATTCTCTCGATGTCGCTACACGGTGAATTTTCATTTTTCACATCAGGTAATCTCGTCGTCAATTTTTTCATTTTATGATTCGAACCGTTTTCTTTTTTACGATTCATTTCGCGGCAAGAACTGAAAATCCTTTCGCGACGACTCAACGCTGCAACCACTTCTTCATCTCTATCCTCTTCTCCTTCTTCTCCTTCTTCTTCTTCTGTTAATTCATCTTCTATATCGGCCAATTCAAATTTTTTCAAGTTCGTGAGTATCGATGGATTCGGTTCGATTTTTTTATCTTCCGTATCGCTCGATGTGTCATAAAGTAAAGTTTCCGTGTCGCTGAAAACGCATCGTTTACTCGATACATCTTCGAAACTTTTTTCTTGATCCAATGCATCTCTTTCTTGAGCAAGTTGAGATTTCTTTTCGAAATCGGCGAGTAAATCTTTAACGGATTTTTGATGTTTTTCTTCTGGAACTTCTTCGAGTGAGGGTTCCTTACACTGCGGATGACTCTCACCCAATGCGAATAAACTGATTTCTTGTAATTTGGAATCGGCATTTTTCAAATTGGCCATATACGCTTCGTCAATGTAATAATTTATCGGATTGGATTCTTTTCCGGAACCATCTTTTCCATTACCATCCAACTCGTCCAACCCCAATTGCTTTATTCTATTCTTAACTATGCTTTTGGAAAAACCGTCGATTCCAACGATTCCGCTCGGATTCGAATCGACAACTTTGGGATCTTTTATGTACTGATAAGAAAATTCTTTTATGAGTTTCGTTTCGTCAATTTTTTTATTCCAGTTTCGTTTTTTACCAGGATTACCACCATCCGTCATCATTTGCCGATTCCCTGTCGGAGATATTTTTTTTTCTTCTTTAACCGGTTCCGTTACCACCTTTTTAACAATTACATCATTTTTATATTTCGAATCTCTCACGACGGCATCCTTTTCGTCCTCATCGTTCTCCTCATCGCCATCATCATCGACATCATCACCACCCCCAGTTTTAATAATTCGACGACGTTTTTTACACGAAGATATTTTATCGGCCATTTCAGAATAATTTTCAGTTTTGACTTTTTCGTAAATCAAATCAGGCGACGAGAGCGAAATCGCGAATTCATTTTCGACGTTGATTATTTGATTTTGAGTTATGTTTTCGTAATTCGGAGATGAATAATTTCCACTCGTTCCAATAAAATCCGAATTTGTTTTCATTCCTTTAACGTCATCATCATCATCATCATCGTTTCTCCATTGTTTTCTCCCCGTTTGACAATTTCTTCTATTTCTTTCTTTCTCGTTCCTTCTTTCCTCATCGTTGTCTTGAAAAACGAACAACAAAACCGCCGTTAACAATTAAAATTTCCCATTTTTTTTTTAAATTAATAATAATTAGTCGTTTTATCCATGCGGTTAGTTTTACCCGACTTTTACTTTCTCCAGTTTACCACTTTTAATTATTTATATATATATCATTCAAAAAAAAATAAAAAATACCCGAAACCAAATAAATAAATAAATAAAACTATTAATTAATTATTTTTCACTTATCAAATAAACCAAAAAATGTTTTGTTAGTTTAAAAAAAAAAAAAAAATGAGATACTAAAAAGAAAATGATAATCACCGATTCACCGAAAATTATTTATTCCAAAATGATTCCATAAAAAAAAAAAAAAAAAAAACATTTAACATGCAGAAAGTTTTTTTTTTTTGGAAAAATTTCCAGAGGTTTCATCATAAATAACCACACAATCTCATTTTCCAAAAAAACAAAAATTGCCATTCATTATGTTATGCTAACCAATCAACCGACCAGCAAGTCAGCCAGTCAGTCAATCAATCAATCAATCAGTCAATCAGTCATTTTTCAAGTGTGACAATTTAAATTTTATAACCAAAAAGAAAAAAATAATAATCTCGACTTTCACGCGACGCGATCGTAAATACGAATTAACAAAAACAACGATTCGGTAATTACAACCCCCCCCCAAAAAAAAAAAAATGGCGGGAAATTTATTTCACCCTTTTCCCCGTTACCTTTTCCAGGTAACGAAAAAAAAACGGTTCCAAAATATTACAAAATTTACGCATTAATTTTCACATTCCAAAATTTTTCTGAACACCTAAACATACTTCGGTATACAGTTACGCGTAGGAATTTTGTTGTCCGTTTGTTTGTTTGTTTGTACGTTTGTTCACTTCCGGTGGACGATAATGATAATTAAAAAAAATCATTACGTAATTATTTCGGACGGAAATAAGTGTGGCGTAACGAACGACGACGACGACTAAGACGACTCGCACGCGTGCGTTTGATTATGAACGCATACACACGAACGTAAATTTTTTTTTTTTTTTTGTTTTCCCACGCGAGTCTCTCGAGTAACAACAATGATAATAATAATAATAATTATTATTATTATTTAAACTAATAAAAATAATAATAATAATAACATTTCGAAGGAATGAAGAATTTATTAATGCTTTTAAAAAAAAATTTTACGATTTCTCTACAACTTTCAATTTCCTAAGAGTATCTCTTAATTTCCTCCCCTCCTCCCTCCTATTTTTTTTTCAATGAACCTTTCCCATCCCCTTTACCCCCCAATAAATCTTTTTTCCTTTTTTTTTTTTCCTCTAAGCTTTAGATTTATGCGTATTTATACATATATATTTTATTTTTTTTATTAACCGACGGTTGAAGGGTACGTTCGTTGCAATAAAAAAATAATTTTAAAATCCTTTGAAATGAGGATGGGAGAGAGAGAGGAGGAGGAAAGAAGGAAGGGGAGTTGAAAAAGGTATAGAAAAAAAAGGGGGGGGGGAAACGATAAATCAAAACGTTCGCGTTCGGAAAATAATACAAAATTTAGATTTATATATGCACGAGCAATAAAAAAAAATAAAAAAAAAATTCAAACGACAACCGAAGCAGAAAATAAAGGCTTAAGAAAAAAAAAACGAACGAACGAACAAACGAATTCAGTTACTGGAAAAGAAAGAAAAAAAATAAAAACTTTACGAAATAGAAAGAAAGAAAATTCGAACGGAAGAGAAAGAGAGAAAGAGAGAGAATAAGAGAAAGTGAGAAAGAAAAAAAAACCTTTTAAGGTTGTTGATCGATTAGTTTTTCCCAGCATCATTTAAAAATCTCGAATTGTTTGTTTTTTTTTTTCTCTCTCGAAAGTTTTACTCGTTATTTCTTACGACCGATCGACCTTTTTTTGTTTGTTGAAAGTAAATAAATTGTTTCTCCCGACCCCCCACCTTTCCCATCGAATTCACGACAGCCAACTGTTTAAAAAAAAAAAAATAATAATAATAATAAAGGAAAACAACAGACGTGTCCTTTACTTTTTTTGACAACATTTTCCGATTTTGTTTCCAAAAAAAGAGCAAAAATAAAAATAAAAAAAAATAATGAAAATTTTTCAAAGGACAAACAAGCAAATGAAATCTTTCTCTCTCTCTTCCCCCTCTTTCTCTCCCTCTTTCCCCCCCCCCTCTCTCTCTCTATTTTTTTTTTCAAAAAATTTATGCTTATATTCGCAATTAACGTAAAACAAATACTAACAAATTATTTCAAATTTCACGAACACGATCGTGTTTTTTTTTTATCCAAAAAACACAAAAATGAATAAACCCCCCACATCTCACCTCCCTCCCCACCCCTCCCCACTTTCCCGAAAACAAAAAAAAAAAATGTGTAAAACGTGAAACACGAAAATACATTAAAAACTGGTAGTTCGAAAGAAACAATAAAAACGACTTCCGAAATTTTAATTATTTTATTTTATTTTTTTACGAACTAAAAACGTGTTGTTGTTTGCGTTTGTTGTTTGTTTGTTTGATTCTTTTCCTATTGTTTATTCATGTATAATTTCGAAAATGATAAAATAAAAAGAAATTCATATAAGAAGAAATAAAAGAAGTTGACGAACGCCATTTTTTAAATTTTCGCGCCAAGTTTTTTTTTTCCTCAAATGAAATTAATATTTGTACTTTGTTGTTGTTGTTGTTGATCGTTTGTTTGTTTGTTTGTTTTTTATTATTTACCCATTAAAAGCAACCAATCACCGCTTGAAAATATTTTTTGTTTTTTTTTTTTACTAATTACACGAACAGTTAGATGTAAGGAAAATAAATACTACCCGCAGCCATTCATTTGTGCAAAGCTCGATGCTACATCTTTTCACCATTTGTTTGCATACATAAAAAAAATTAATGAAGCGAATAATAATAATAATAATGATAATGATAATAATAAGGAAAAACAAATTTGTTTTTGTTTTTTGCTTTGTTTTCAAATGAAAATTAAAAAAATAAAAAACTTACCTTCGTCATCGGACGAGTAGCTGTAATATCGATCTGCCGACAGCAGAGCGGATCTCCTTCCGTCAGGAATTCGATTTTGATTTCGATTCGATCGATCATCTCCTTTGTTTCTCTTCTTGGAAGATGATTCCTCTCTGTTTCTCGTTTCCTCTCGTTTTTCCAAATCTTTCAACACTTGTTGTTGTTTACAAAACACCGAAAGTTCGTTTTGCGTAACGCCCCTCGCGGAAGAACCCGAGGATTTTCTCGTGAGGGGAGATTGAAGCATTCTCTGCTTCCATTCCAATAATCTTTTCATCGATTCTTCTTTTCTACCCTCGTTGAAATCTTCTCCGCCCGTGTACGCTTGTATTTCGTCACTTCCGGCTTCTTCGTCGTGTTGTCTTTGCTTTGGCAATCTCGCGCTGGCGGATCTCATGAAATTATTATCGGATCGATCTTGATGCTCGCTCCAACGTCTCGGATTTTGACGAGAGGGAGATTTCGTTAAATCTTTCAATATGTCTTCGACTCTTTTTTGTCTGAACACGATTGGCGTTTCGCGTTCGTCGTGCGGAATTTTCGCATCCGTTTGATATTTGAACGAATCGTCTAATCGTCGCGACACGGGAGTGTTCGCTCCCGAAAGGTGAGACCTTTGAGGTAATGAATTTTGAAGGTACATGGCGGATTGTCTCATTTTTTCCGCGTATCTTTCCTCGCTCCAATAATACCCGTCGTTGGAATGCATTATTTCCAAACTGCTTTTAGGCCTCGGGGGCCTGTTGTAATTGTATTGTTCGTTTCTCACGTTTATCTTTTGTCCGGGTGTTATTTTTTCCGTATATTTTTTATTAGGGTAATAATTTTTTGCATCGTAGTCCAAAAAATCTGCACTGTGAGGTCTTGGAGGTTGACGACTTTTCACTCCGACAACATTCATACTATTTTGACCTTCGTATGGTATTTTAGAAGGTTGTTGCTGTTGTTGTTGTAGTGGTTGTTGTTGGTAACTCTGATAATATTGATTTGAGTGTTGATAATTGGCTGAGGAGTAATCCTTTGAATTTCCATAGTTTAAAAAATTTTGTTCACTTGATTTGTGGGATATTCCGGGATAATAATTTTCATTTTTAAATAAATCTGTCCTGTTGTTATTTTGATTTTCTTTTCTCACGGGACCAACTTGGCCTGAAGGGTTGTTGCTGTTGTTATGGCTACCCCATCCTCCGGCACCTCTGTCTCCCATTCCACTACCCGAATATGCTCCGGAATAAGGCACTGAGCGATTACCATCCGTGCTCGGGGCAGAGCCTGGAGAATATTGAGACGAATAAGGATGATAATTGTAATCTTGGTGTTGAACCGGCGTGGCAGTTTCTTGAAATCTTCTACTCCTGTCGTAGACAACGTTATCGGGATCGTCTCTTCTGTTTGGACTAGCTTCTGGGCTCGAACCGGCATACTGTCCCTCGCTGTTCAATCTTTTTGGTTTAGGAGGAGCATTGGCATACAGCGGTTGATACGGGCCGCAAGGATTTTGTGGAACCCATCCGTTAACGTTTCCACTTCTATCCTTCATGTTTTTATCCTGACTAGTTGGTTGCATCGTTACCGGCCCGTAGTATGAATTATTATTACCTTGCATTCGAAAATTAAATTCATCGTTGTTTTGTTTTAGATTCACGTCGTGACTTTGCATTTTGGTGCCTTCTTGCAAAATGGAAGCAAGGCTCAAAGCGTTCGTCCACTCGGTCATTAACTCGCGAGTTTCGGCGGCGAAATAATACGTCCTCATGTTCGCATGTTCCGCTTTAAATGCATATTTACGATAAACTTTATCTTCCGCCGTGCAGGGTGATACTTTGTACGATGGCAACAATATCGAACCCAGCAATTTCTCTTCTTCGGGTCCCTTGTAATAAAACAAACAATATTCCGACAAAACGAACCACCGCTTTTTCCAAAGCATTAACCCTTCACTTCCTTGCTTATGTAACCATCCTTGAAGTGCGACGGGAGCCGTGGTGGGTCGTTTTACGACTGGAGACCGTAATTGTGAACTTCCTACACTTTTCCGCCGTCCGCTTTGCGATGATGGAGAAGGCTAAAATAAATTTACACCGTAATTAATTTTTTTTTTTCTATGTTTTTAATTTTAAAACATTTTTATTGTTTTATTTATTTATTTACCTTTTTGTTGTCCATAATAATAGCTGGACTCACTGATGTTTGCGTTATTTCTGGATCCAGCCTGGAAAAAAAATAAAAAAAAATTTCAAACTTTCCATAGATAATTACAATTACTTCTTCCAATTCACAAAGTAATATCTTTACGATATCAACGAACTTTACAACAAAAAAAAGAATTTTTGATCAAGTGTGACCAAAATAAAAACAACGACGACCACATGACACCCAAACAAACAAACAAAAATACCAAAGAACAACTTCCTACTACTACTGGTCAGTGTTTTTTTTTTTTTTAATGCTTTTAATAATTACATGTAAAAAAATAATAAATTAATTAAAAGTCTTTTGATTTCAGCGTGCCTACACACTGTAACTAATTCATTCCAATGTTTTTTTTTTTTTTTTTTAAAGCAAAGTTTTTAAGTTAAACAAACGCCGCACGCGGCATAGGTAAAAGCCGTTAAAAAAAACGGTTGATTTTTAAATGACAGTAAGAAATAATAATAATAATAATAATAATAATAATAATAGTTAATGAATCAATATAAAAAAAGGTTTTTTCTTATTAGGGTTACGTCGAGGTAAAATAAAATTTCAGGTAAATACCGACCGACTTACACACACTCGGGTCATCATTTCAAAATTTTTTTTTTTTTTTAGCCGTAAAATAATAATAATAATAATAAATTTATATATTGATATTCCGTGCGAAAAATTTCCTTTTTCCCTATCTCTCTTCCTCTCTCTCTCTTTTCTCCCTTTTTGAAAACGGGAAGCTGGAGATTAGCATCTTAATTCACGTCTATCCCGAATTTTAAAATTTATGCCGCGATTATAAATAAATAAATATTTTATTTTAAATCCGTATGAAAAATTTATTCTCACGAACGTTTGCGTCATTATATCATCATCATCATTATTATTATTATTATTATTATTATTTTCATTAGCGTTTTTCGTCGTCTCGCATTAAATTTTGTCACAATTTTCCTCGTCATCACAAGTAAATAAAAATTCGATAAAGTTTAATCGAAATTTAAAAAATTAAATAATAATATTAGTTTCCTCCCCTCCCTCTCTCTCTCTTCCCCCCTCCCCCCTTTTCTTTTCCCTCTTATTATTATTATTATTTTCTACATTTTGGTATTATTATTGAAAAAATTTAAAAAACTACGAAGCAGCAGAAAAAAAAATTTTTTTTTTTTTTTTAAAATATATCGTCACACCTGATGTACATATATATATTTTTCCTCTCTCTCTTTACCTCTTTTTCTCTCTCTCTTTATTTTTAATATTAAAAAAAAAAAAAAACTATTATTAAAAGAAAGTTTGTTGTTGTTGTTGTTGTTGTTACGACTTTTTTTTTTTTTTTAATAAAAAAAAAATACATAAGTAAAATAAATAATTGTGATAATGTCAAGTTTTTCAAGTTGATTTCATTTATAAAATTAAGTTCAAGAGAGAGAGAGAGAGAGAGAGAGAGAGAGAGAGAGAGATTGTTGCAACGCCAGATTAAAATTTAATTTTTCAAAAAAAAATTAAATTTAAATTTAAATTTAAATTTAATCTTTTGTTGGTTAATTACTTTTCTTTTCTTTTCTTTTTTTTTTAAAACTTTTCCTAAACAAATTATCGTTAACTTTGTTGCTGCTTTCACCCACCGCGTAATAAAAATTTTTTTTTATTTTTCTTCTTCATCACCATCACGATTATTATTATCATTATTTATATATTTATTAAATTTTTTTTTCATTTTACTTTCGTACGGAGGAAACGATAAAAGTTATCTGCAATATTTATTATTATTATTATTATTTTATAGCGTATTTATTTATTTATTTAAAAATAAAATAAAATTTTAAATTCGAAAAAAAACATGAAAAATTACGAATTGATACGCGATAAAAATAAAAAAAAGAATTCATTTATTTTTTCTTTAAAGCTTGAGGGGGATGAACCGGGGGGGGGAAGGGGAAAATCAGGTACGAAAAAAAATGTCTACCTACCCAACACCTTGCTACACCCTTGCCCCGCCTCTTTTCGTTTTATTTTACATTATTTAAATTTTTTTTTAAATATTCAATTCCACCTTTTTGGAATATTTAAACAGAAAAAAGTAAAGTTTTCCCCCTTCCCCATATCTTTCTTTTACTTTTCCGGAGAGACCGGAAATAAAATAAGAAACACGACTTCCTTTTTTTTTTATTTAGGAAAATGATGAAAATTTTAAAAACTTTTCTTTTTTCATTTTTCTTTTTTTTTTTTTCATTACGTCATAGTTCGTTGAATCTTTTGATTTTTGATAAAAGAAAAAAAAAAAGTTAAGTAAAAAATAAAAATGCTTTCGATTCCCTTTGAGGAATTTTAATAATAATAATAATAATAATAATAATAATAATAATAATAATAATAACGTCAATAAATAAATAAAAGACAGAAAAGAAAAAAAATATTTCTACTGCTTCGCATTAAAATGTGCAGTTATTTTCGACCCTATATATATGTATTAAAATGACTCACTACATGCATTTACCCTTAAATTTTTTTTTTTTTTTTTAAGGGTGAATTCTGACATTAAACTTTCACGAACCCTAACGTACATAACCGACGGAAAACGTCATCGTAACCGTCATCATCATCATCATCACTATTATTATCATCACGCGAATTTTTTCCCGTGCACAAAAAAAAAGAAAAGCAAAAGAATTTAAAAAAAAATATATTATTTAAATTATTATTATTCGTTATCGAAACGACAAATAAATAAAAAATACTACGAAATACGACATTTTCCATTCGATCATTTTTCCCCTCCTTTCGCACCAATAATAATAATAATAATAATAATAATAATAATAATAATAATAATAATAATAATAATAATAATAATAAATTTTTTCGAAAAAAAAAAAGCGTGGATTGTGAAAGTTTTTCCGAATTAAAAATAAAAACACACACACAAACTTACCATGCTAAACATTGCCAAAAATAAGTGAATATCAAATCCGGACACTAAAAAATACAAAACTATTATTATTATCATCATCATCATCATTATTATTATCGATGATAAAAAAAAAAAAAAAATTGGAAAATCGAAAACAAAGCTGGAGCGAGCGAGCGGAATCACGGGATCATTTACATTTTTTTATTTTTCTTTTTAAATTACATCCATCAAAAAATAAATAAATAAATTAGCGCTTATAATGAGTGCGTGTGTGAGTGCGTGAGTGCTGCGTATGCGTGTGCGTGTGCGTGAATTT